TCTCTCTCTCTCTCTCTCTCTCTCTCTCCCTCTCTCCCTCCCCCAACGGGCAGCAGCGACGGGGTCCACGTCGAAATGGCTGCTTTGAAATTGCTCGGGCCTGTGCGAAACTCGCCACTCCAAAAACCTGCAGTGTCTTGTGTCCGGACCTCTCGGCCCTGTCCGGTGGGGTGAAACGACACCGAAAAATCACCCCATTATTTTTCGAGGGGCGGCCAGGACCCGATGAACTTCCTGGGCCGCCCCTTTTTTTTTTTTGTTTTGTTTTTTGCCCCAGGGGCCTCCATCCGGACATAAGGACCAGACACCGGACACCGGACTGTCTGGAACCTGGTCCGGACGTCCGGACGGTTACCATGATATAAACAGCACATTTTAGACTAAAACAAAATTTAACAAACGTTTACAAGGAACATAAAAAACTCAGAAAAACCTCAGGTTTACTGAAAGGATGCAAAATCATTGAAATCGGCATGCGTCATAGAATGGAATCAGCCAACATGACCTTGCTCGTTGTCAGAAGAGTTATGTTATGGGCTGACAGCCTGACACCTATTTTTTCTGTTGTTTATCAGCGCCCACAGAGTGGTGGACGGCGTTCGAGAACGAATCCTCCGCGTGGCTCTCGCTCATCCATCAGTATCCTTCACTCTTACCCATGAAGGGAGGTATGCTTATTATCTTGAAAGTCCCGCAATTTCACAATGGAATATCTGCTCAATAATGCTCAGAGGACATTGCCACTGTGGATAATTCAAATTTTCAAAGTATGTTACCGGATGTATGATCGCTTGCAACCATAGCATTGAGGTATGCTGGGAGGTATGCCTTCCACGATCTCAAGAGCATTGTACAATAAAGTTGGGTGCACCTGGTGTGTGTGTGTGTGTGTGTGTATGTGTTTTGATTTTTCACCACAACAGCCCCTATTCCACCCAGATGAGCAGATCCAGAATCAAAGCATATTCAATCCTTTTGCAGACAACGAAAGCCCTTGAGTGGGGACAATCCAACAAGGAAACAGTTTCAGAGCTATAGCAAGCAACATGAAGTATAATAGAGGTATGGAAAGTTGGAAACCCCTTTCTTAATTGTGTTCACATTTGCTTTCTTTGGGGTACCCCTTTCATTTGTTCTTGCAGCTCCCCCTTTACTGTGCCTCTCATGTACAGGGCTCGCCATGTTGATTGTGGTTGAGCGCGAGCTGGCCACATCCCCGTGTGCCGTAACAGCCCATTTGCACACTATGAAAGGGGGCAGAGCAAAGGTGGAGGTATATTCCTGTTCATTTCTTCTGAGATCTTCAACTTGATGCTCATTCGTATGTATAAATAGTAATACACAAGAGAAGGGAGGAAGGAAATGGGAGGTGGAGTTCTAACCGTGTTTTAAATAGTGACCGCTGGGGCAGACCACTGTAGAATGGCACATGAGGCCAGTCAGTGTGTGGGTTGCATAAGATCTGAGCAGTCGTTGCGTATGGTAAGTAGCCACCTCTACACACTGGGCAGGACCGGTTTGGGTGTGGCCTGTGGAAGCACTGCATCCAATTCTCGCAGTCACAGGCTATGTGGCTCCTACGTGCTAGGAACACAGGCGCACATCGACTGCAATTGTAGAGGCATTG